GGAGGCAGGCTTCGGACAGGCCACAGAGAGGCCGCAACAGGCCTGCCAGCTGCCGAGAGAGGAGGCAGGCCTCGGACAGGCCGCAGCAGGCCTGCCAGCTGGCGAGGCCTCGGACAGGCCTTTGGAAGTGCTTGGAAGGGTTCTGCTAGGCTTGGCCAACTGCTTCACCCGAGGGTTTGAAGGCGGTCCAAAATGCCTGGCCACAGAGAGGCCGCAACAGGCCTGCCAGCTAGGCGGTCCAAAATGCCTAACGTCGCCTTCGGAAGCCCATAAGAAGAGAGGAGGCAGGCTTCGGACAGGCCACAGAGAGGCCGCAACAGGCCTGCCAGCTGCCGAGAGAGGAGGCAGGCCTCGGACAGGCCACAGAGAGGCCGCAGCAGGCCTGCCAGCTGGCGAGGCCTCGGACAGGCCTTTGGAAGTGCTTGGAAGGGTTCTGCTAGGCTTGGCCAACTGCTTCACCCTGCGGTGGCCCAGGCGCCTCCCCGCCTAGGCTTTGGCTATAGGCCGGGGTCGGCGGATATAGTATAGTATAATATAAAATATGTATATGGAAGCCATCCAAATTAGCCGTTCCTTTAACAGAACACATAAACGTTTGGTGATGAACCATCGAATGGATTGCGAGCGGTGGAACCTCCATGTCCATGACCGATGAATGCCGGATAGACATCAACACCGATGTGTTTGCAGGATGCCAGCAACCACATGAAAGGATTTGTTTCTATGCGCATCCTTGCGTACCGCCCAGGGTTTTTCACTAGTTGCCAGGGTTTGTTTCTATCCGCAAAAGACTCGATCCATTTCTCAAAGCACCTTTATTCCCACGCACCGCACGGAATTGGACCATGTGTGACTGCTGTGACGACATCGACGTCGTGAGGCCTGTTGGAGGCACTGGCAGAGACCGCTTCCGAGACGGCCGTCTTTGGGCTCCTCTGCACCGGCCATGGAGAGAGAGAGAGAGAGAGAGAGGGAGCTGGTGGGTTGGTGATCATCGAAAAAGAACCGAAGAACCAGACCGAAAGATGACCGGTGTGCGGTCTTGGAAAACAACAGTTTTTGGCCTTCCTTACATGAGTGGTTGAAGCAGCGAAGAGAAGTCAGAGTGAACAGTGGGTGGTTTGCGACGTTGGTGCACCTGGATTTTTTTGAACCTTCACATATGCTTTCATGGCCCGTTTCCTTTCCCTTCACTCCCAATTGGGCAGCCCCGAGCTGAAAAGCTGAGCCGCCATACCGGCCGCCGGGCTCGTGTTTGCTGTTTCGCCAAGGTCGTGAGGTCTCCCGGAGGCTTTGGGTGGAGGACTAGACCGATGAACTCTGAGGGATGTGCAGAGGGTTCTCTCCTGTGCCGAAGCAAAAGTCGATGCGACAAGTAGACACGCACTGAAGCGACTAGGGGGCCGGAAGATGCGGATGTTTTTTCTGACTTCGTCGCGTCGAGTCGAGTTGATTGGGAGTCTTTCACGGTTTCTTTCGCGCACCGAACGGTGCGCGGGGGTTCGTTGCTTCATCCGAACTGGTCACCGTGAGCGGCTCGGATCTTTTTCTCCAGGCAAGGATCACCTTGGGAGGGTCAACCAGGTAGTTCCGTTGAGTTTTGCCTTAAAGAAGGTCCTGCTACTGGTTGCAGAGCCGCAGGTCGATGGCATCGAGGGGTCAGGGACTGGCTGGCTCTCTTCTCAACGGCCAAGACTTTGGGGTGAGTTCGCCGGACGGCCCGTGGTGAACATCCGAGACAACTCCTGAAGGACAAGTTTTTGTTATCTCCCCTTTTTCCAAAAGAATCTTGTTTTTACTCCCAAATGACCTGTGAAACTCGGGGGATTTCGCTCAAAAACATGTGGCACTACTGCTGCACCGTGCGACCGACAATCCTTGCCATCCTCGTCCAGGACTCGGAGAATCCAGGGACCCGGAGGCGCGGAGGTTGGAGGTTGGGTGCCAGTTGAACAAACAGCCCTACGATTCGATGCACCATTGATTTGATAGCCTGAACCCTCAACAACCATTGTTAAATCAGGGACAGATCATGGGCAGGTTGGAAACCGGAAGCAAAAAGGAATCCCGTCGGATTCTTGCTCCTAGTAGGACTCGTCGTCGATTTTTCCGTGTTGTTGACCAGGTGGATGTTGGGCTTGCTTCTTTTTGCGCGACGAGATGCTGATGTTGGGGGGACCGCGGAACCTACTTGTAGTCAGTGGAGTCGAACTAATCAACTTGACTCAATACCAAGCAACCAACATCTATGGGATTTACTCGAACTCACCGATATAAAGGTGTTCTGACTCAGTTCTGACTATCATCGTAGGAAAGGGTCAAACAAAGGCATCCTTCTTCCAGTCAGTTGGTGCATGCCAGGTGTATGAAGGCTTTGTCCAAGGCTATGCTTCTAGAAACACTTCCATCCCCTTGACCATCCTTGACCTATACTGCTAAAAAACAAATATATATATATATACACGACAAAACACACCAGCTTGTGTATTGGTCAATTGTTGCCTGTGGTCCAGCCTCGAGCTTGTTTCATCTCGATCCGTTGATCCAGTCCGTTTCACAGGGTGACACAGATTTCCGTGTGGTTCTTTCATCCCATTTTTTTTGGTGCAAATACCATCGTTGTTGTTTCCAAAGCAAATATAACCTCTCCAAATGCAACTTTTTAACATTGGAGAGACGTGTCCCATTCCGTACAAGAAAAGACATGGGACACTTTCCTTGGCTTTGTCGTGGCGCTCTGTGGATCACCCACATTGGGGATCACACCTTTAGTGCTTGCAGCCGCAGCCCTTTGGTAATTTTGACCGGCCCGAATTTGGTGACCCACAGGAATTATGCCTTTGCCAATTCCAGCTCTCTGGTATGCTTGACAATCCCAGAGTGATCCATTGGGTATTGTGACTTTGAGGGTTGTAGCTCTTTGGCGGAGTGATTTTCCAATGCATTCGATTTATATAAAAGTGGCATCAAAAAAGCAAAAAACACCTCCGCGTTTGCCACTTGGTTCGGGGATAGGTTGGAGACCTGTTCGGTTCGGATCGGAGGCTCTTGGTGTCTGGCTGCAGCTTGTGGCCTCATAGCCGTCCTCAGTGCCTCACCAAGATCAGCTGCCTGGCCTCAATTAGGTAAGCCAACGAATGGCCATCATTCTCATTTGGGTAAGTTGACGCATGGCCAGTGTCGTTGATGAGCTTTGCTGGGTTTCTTGCTGTTTTCAAGTGCCAAAGTGCATCACATATCCCACTCCTTGGCGGATGGACCAAATGCTGGGGGTGTCTAAGAAACATCCAAGTATATAGTTGCATAAGTTTCGATTCTCAGGCGGTGGATGGAACAATGGCCTCGCGAGGGTCTCCAGTCGTTGGGTGGAAGACGACCTTCATGTTGGAGTAGATTCTTGTTTCATGATCCATTGGATTGGTCGGGTTTGACACCCAACCGCGGTGACCTGGGTGACCGGGGCACCACTCTGACCATCACTTTAAGCGTGGAGATTTTGCACCGGCTGCAAGTCTATACATCGGACTCAAGCATCTTAGGAAAATTGTGAATTGGCAGGCTGTTTCCTTCTGGGGTGAACCAATCAAGAACCCCTGTTAGTGCTCGTGGAAAACTCTATAGAAGACTCATTTGTCACTTTGCGAAAGCCAAATGGTCTCCCAGTGGTCAGTTTTTTTGGAAGAATTTATACAACATATAATACAAGATCCAATATATATATATATATACATAGATTCCGAACCCCAAAGCAATTTGGGCAAACTCCATGTGAGTTGGTGGACGCATCGCACGGAGTACATCGGGCCCCAAAATGATTCTATGCCCCATGGGCCCGGTCCTGCGCCAGCACAGGTCCCAATGCCCTGCGCCAGCTCTCCTTGACGGAGGCGCCTGCACTCTTCTTGCCAGGCGTGGTGGGTCCTAGGATCTCGGCGGAAACATCAGGAAACATCTTAGAGGGCTTGTATAGTAGGATGTTCAGGACTTGGTTGTGATATCGAAGTCATCAACATCTCATCCTCTCCATGCTTCGCCCTGAGGTGGACTGTGGATGCCCCTCATCTCCGCATCCTTGCGCTACCTCTCGCTCTCGTTGGAACGCCCGGAGCTGCAGGAACCGGTTTCGTTGATGGACCGGGTGTCCCCGTGGGCGAGCCTCCCCGAGAAATGTGGGTTCATCATGCTTGGCCTGGGCCAGACGAAGTGCCAGATGATCTTTTTGTATGGTTTAGTTTCCTGGTTCCGAAACAGCGATCAGCTGATGGTCTGGCACGGCATGCGATTGACCACTCATGAAGAGGAGTTACAATGCCAGGTGCAACAGATGCGATGGTGTGGCGGAGGGTCATCTTCAAAAGAGACAGCCGGGATTTTCTGCGACCGGCTCATCAGTCTAGCAGGGGTCCATGGGATTCAATGGCCGCTCTTCGGCGCCGCTCATTCTTTTTGGGTTTTGCTACCCAACAGGATTGCTGGAACGAGATCGTGGAGGGCTTGGCAAACACTCCGACCGCAAGGCGCACCTTCCGACCCTTGGAAAGGTTGTTGTGAGTGCTTTGGATCTCACCTCATTGTCACCAAAACGCACTGCAGAAGTCACAAAACTTAACCAAAAAGCTTGTCACCGTGAAAACGCCCTGTCGAAGTCTCCTCCAAAACGCCCGCCGCTCCCGGTCTTGTTCCAAAGGCTCCAGCGCCTGATGCTCTTGGGACACACCTTCCCGGCGGGTGGCCTGCGCCCTTTGAGCCGTGTGTGCGGCGCATGTGTGAGGAACCGGGGCTGGAGATGGCTGAAGACATGGCTGAAGAGATGGCTTCAGGTCAAGTGGAGTGACGAGTGCGGATTCATCAACTGAATTCCTGAGGTTCATCATCAACATCTGGATGTTATTAGGAGAATCGCAGGATAATACCCAGCTCTTTTCTGAACCAGACCTATGTGTGACGCCTAGCCTCTGCCTTTTTTTTGGCAGGAGCTTGGAGGCCTTGGCGATCGACTTCCGCACGAGCGCGGGCGATCTGGGAGAGGACTTCCCCTGTCGAAAAGTAATAGCCCATTTTTTGAGAGAGATCGAACACTTCCTTGACTCCTTGACCGCATGTTTGGGCTGGGGCAGAGGTGGTAAGGGGCTGGAGTAGCAAGTGTGGAGAGTGTGTGAAACCGCACGCCCACGGTGGGCGACTCTGGGTCGCTCGGAGGAGGAGCAGCTGGAGCTTTGGACGAGTCTCGAAGAGGTCTCCCGTCCAAGACACCGTGTGTTGTAGGGACATCGAAGAGAGGTTTGAGGGTTTTTTGCTTAAAGCCCTATAACCTTTTTGGACGGGGTCGAACATCGAGAGAGGACGGATCGTGCAGTGACAAATTCATCAAGAGTCGACACGGATCAACATGTGCCCATGAGCCAAGCCATGAGCCGTATGCAGCCCTCCCATGCCACACCAATACCCGCCTGAGAACGGGCCCAAAGAAAAGGATGAATGATTATGAATGTGTATAGTAATCATTATTGATGCTTTTTTTGGGAGGTTGAAGTGTTGAAGGATTGGAGATTGAACTTGAAAGGCCCAGGAATACAGGGAGCCGAACAGCGATTTGGATGGCTAGGGACCAAGGATACCCACTTCAGAGCCGCACCGACCCAGATCAACTGGCACGACTAGTTAGTTTGATCACTTACTGAGAGAGGTTCTTTTAAGTCACCGACACATGGGATCAGGAAACATCCCCTCCCGGGTCTTTGGATCATTTTCCTTACTAGCGATGGCCTCCAACCCGCGACATTGTTTGAAGACTTTCCATGGTTGATCGACTTCTCATGAGGCTTGGACACGTCCCCGCTCCAATCGTAGAAGGATCACTTCCATCCATTGGCGGTGTGTATCAAAATAGGGAGACGTCCCAAAGACCCCCTGGAAGAAAGAACTAGACCCAAACGAATTGTTTGCCATGAGGTTTCCCTATTAAATTACACACTCATTTGCCCATTTCATCCCGCTCATTGGCTCTGCGACCATTGGGCGACCACCACCCAGGCACAGCACCTGCGCCGATTGCAGCTGAGTGGCCTGAGGTTTTCTCCACAGTTGCTGTGTCAAGGCTTGCGGAGGCTCAAGTGCCTTGGGCAGCTGAGGCGCGGCCAGAGACATCCAGAGATGGTCTTTCTGAGGGGATGGTTTTTTGAGGTAGTTTTCATTCGGATAAAGAAAGATGGCTGTTTCATATTTGTAACTTTCAGTTGTGGTTTACTATATACCCTGATTTAAAGACCACTTGTCTCTCTTATGTATCCTTGGCAGTCTTGCATGCTGGAATTCTAGGGTCAACATTAGAAGGCCTGAGCGAATTTCCCGTATGGATATGGCGAAGCAAGCCAGGGGGTACACTCAGTCAATCATTGGCAAGAGAAAACATTGACATATAACTATCCCCAGACCTATCGGGTGCAAGTCTTCATTTGTGCAGCATGCTGCTGTCTAGGCTACCTGTGCAAAAGATAAACCCCACCAACCCGAGTTTTTGCGCGTTTCACCTATCTTGGCCGAGAAAGAAGAAGCGGTCCAAGCTCGTTCGGGGACTCGATAGGGGCCCGATTGAGCCACTTCGGCTTCTGCAGGCACTTGGGCTTGGGGCACTGCAGTGCGGACGCTCTCGTGTCTGAGGTGTGGAGATCTCCCGAAAAGAAACGTCGAAAGCCATACCGCATGACAACCGAAGATAAGAGGGATCGCTGATAAGAGAAGCAACCTCTTGAGGTCCCGGAAGTAGTGTGGCTTGCGGCTCTCTTAGTTGCAAGTCTAGAGCAGGCGGTCAATGGGCGGGTTCCTTTTCCCTTCAACCGTCACCATCACCAAAACTACTGGGAGATAGGGCACATCAAACCTGCAAGAAACAAATACTCCTCCACAATCTAGGTCTACTCTCTGGACCTGTCCGGGTCTCCTGACTCATCTACTCAAGCAAATGCCGATGGTTCCAGGTCTGCTCCCGCTCCCACCGGTCCACTGTGTGAGTCATCAGTTGAGTTGTTTGTTGCCCAAAGCTTGCACGCTGCAGAGGACATCTCTTGGAGGTTTTTAGTATGCCTCAATACATACACATCCCCAATCCAGCAAAGCCCCACTCAGGTTGAAGCTTCCCCAGTTCCAAATCCTCCTCAAAGGCATTGTTTCTGCGTGGGAGAGTCTTTAAAGAGGTATCCGACCACGAGATGTGCACAATGGCTTCTGGCGCTCGCTGCTTCGATCTCCCATCAGACTGGCCTTTCTCGTGAGGCGGGTGATGAGATGCTCGAATTGCTGGCAGTAGGACTGGGCGTTGCTCCCAGGGGGGCCTACCTACGGACCTACTGCAGTTCATTTGGATGGTCATAATGAAGAAACAAAAAAGTAAAGGACCCAGTGGCCGTTTCATACTCTTCCATAAAGTATTACTATTAGGTTGGAGGCCGTTGCTACTAACTAGGTTGGATACCATCGCTACTAGGTTGGAGACCATCGCTATTACAATGCTTGCGCATCCACAATGCTTGCAGATCATCGAGCTAAAGTTGGAGCATCATGCACACGCCGTCAATTTTCAGACGACAAGAGGGGCGTGGCCATTTCACCCGAGTGCTGCCTATAGCCTATGACACGCAACAAAGATAGGAACATGGTCGACTCCGCAACGCAGTAAGCAAGGACCTGCTTCTTTTTCTTTCCATCCAGCTTGCACTGTCAGGACAGCAGATGGTTCTGAAGCTGGAGAGTTTGGCAATCTTTGGATTGAGACCCTTGGAGCAACCCATAGGAAGATGAAGGCAGAGAAGAGGTGTTGATCCTTTTCTGCGGAAGGATGGAAGGACGGGCACCTAGGACCGACAAACACGTAGGACCGACACGCGCCAAACCTTCAACGTTTGACGACACAGGGGAGTTTTTGTTTGTGTTTTTCCACGAGATGAGACTGCCCGAGAGGGCATCTTGAGAGCTTTTTATCCTTTTTGGTGGAAGGATGAAAGGTCCACCCCAGCCATAACTTGGCAGCCCACAGGATAGATAGGTCGCGGGCGGTCTCGTTGTGCTTCACAGTGACACGGAATGGACTCTTGAAGTGGAGCTCGACTGGGCCCCACTTTCCAAATGCCTCCCAATGTTATATTTGGCAAGGATCGATGTGGATGTGCATTATACAAAGAAGTCCTCCCAGGCAACGACCCCCTGGAAGGTTCGGAAAATCGACCAAAACCATCCAAAACCTGTTGGGCCGGGGTGTCTCCCTATTAACATATATACTTAAAATAATCATGAAACACACACACACACACACACCCATGTCACCTGTGCGCTTTGGTTCTTCCGGGTGGGTGCCCGGTGGGTGCGGAGCCTACGCTCCGCCGCCCGGTCCCGAGGCGACGTGGGGCAGCTGCAGCTGATCCTGGAGACGCTCAGCGCCCCGCAGCTCCTGCAGCTGGATCTGTCGTTCAACGCACAGGCGCAGGTGCCGGGTCAAAAATGCAGGGGTTTGCATTCAGGGGGAACAGGCCCAACGAAAACACCACCTGGTGAAAGGAATGTTGAGAAGAAAGGTTGGTGTTTACAGATGTTATATACTTAGATTTGGACCGACGTTTTGGTGCTTGGACAATTTCTCACGAACATGCACCTGTGGCAAAGAACTCAACACAAGCAGAGGTGCTGACAGCTGGCTGCTCTTGGATTCCCCTAGACTCATGCTAGCACCAATCCCTGCTTGACTTAGAATCCCTGACGCATGTTTCTAACAAAGCAGCAATCCCATCCTGTTCTTCATCGGAGGAGGCCTTGCTGCGGCCGCTGAATGCGATCTTGGAAAGTCGCCCCCTCACAAAGCTCAACTTGACAGGTGCGCAGTCTGCGCAGCCAGTGTCGAATTGCTTCGGTGAGGTCCACAGGCTGAAAGCTTTGGTGCTGGAAAACGATTGAAGAAAGCACAGTGCTTGAACACAAGCTCCCACACAGCGCAGGACTTGGACGATGTACAGAGTGTTGGTTCTCACATTTTCACACAATCCAACTTAGGGAGGGATTTGCCCAGTTGGCAACTAGGTGAAGGGGATGTCTCCCGTGGCTATCACCATAGAACATCATAAAACTATATCCTGAAGAATCAGCCACCAAGATCACCAAGTGGTTTGCGAGTATATATATATGTGTGTGTGTTTGTTTGTTTGTTTGTTCGTTCGTTCGTTCGTTTGTTTGTTTGTTTGTTTGTTTTTGTTTTTTGTTTGTGAAACACTCGATGGGGTGCTTGTAGGGCAAGTCCAGGGTGAGTCTACTTTGCAGTTACCCAAAATGCTGTGCATTGTCAGACTAAGTCGTTGGAGTGTGATGTTTGGTGACTGGTGACTGCCCAAAGATTTTTGGTTAGCACCGCTGCAGTCCCATCAGCAGCCGTAGATATCACACACACACACATATATATATATATATGTATATATATATGTGTATATATATATATCGCGAGCACATCCACAGAGAAAGCTCTCCTCCGCACCTTCCGCCATCCCAGCCATCTCCGCACCTCCAGCATCTTCCCTTCCTCCCTTCTGTGCTCTGTCGCTTCCCGTCGCATGACCAGAGGCTGGTCGAACCCCCCCCGATCCATCGAGTGAAGCGAGGCAGCGCCTTCTGCCTCTCGTCCCTCACGGCACTGCCGAGCAGCCTGGAAGAGTTGCGGATTGCTGGGTGCCATGTGCCACTGGGGCCTGAAGGCAGGGCTGGTAAGCTGTGGGGCCTGAAGGCAGGTGCAAGGTGTGAGGTCATGTGAGGTATGTCAGTTGGAACCATGCTCAAAAGACGTTTGCAGAAGAGGGAGTCTTTTTGCCACGAAGTACCGTCGATCGACACATGTGCCATGACAAAATCAGGGGTTGTTCCCTTTATATAGTAGGGATGATAATCCATCTCTCAACGAACAATCCTAATATGGATCATTGGTACCTCACACAAGGCGCACATGCATCTCCTGGGACTGTGATACATCAATGACCTCTGGGTTAAAAAAATAACGCAGCACTTATAATTGTTTCTTTTGTGTGTCTGTCGGAAAACAACCCCCGGATCAAGGAAGCCCGACTTAGAGTCGAGGCCCTTGAAATCAAGACCCAACAAATAGAGCGCCTTTGTGCACAAATAGAGCGCTTCAATAAAGCACCTAGTTGCGATAACTTAATCTGGATCTAGAGCGAACCTCGATGAGAATCCATACGCTATCGGCAGCATGAGAATCCATACGCCAGAACAGTAGCAAAATCTCACACTGTCTGGGAACAAGTGGAGCTGGTCTGTCTTGGTAGAAGGGGCATTCGAGCAGGGACACCAGCCACTGTTCCTGTTTCTTTGGGATGAGCCTCATGAGACTTGGGCTTGGTGATTTTCCTGCATAGCGTTAAAGTGGGGTACGGGGATTGCCAGGTGGTGAGCTGCTTCAGCGCTTTCTGCAGAACTGCGAAAATCTGCAGGCGTGATGCCGGCGTACTCACATTAGCCTCCTAAGTCCAGGATCTTTGGCTTCCACGCATAGATCAGGTGGAACGCCATGTGCATTTTTTCTTCTCCCAGAAACCAAGGCCTTTGAAAGTCATCACTACTTGCGCCGCTTTCTGTGACGACTTCAGCCATCCCCGGTCATCCCCAGTCTTTTTTTCAACCATCTTGGAGTAGATAGAATATGAGCCAATCGAAACATGACTACTTTCCTGTTGGTTTTTGGATTTCCCCATATTCTATCTATCTATGCCAGGATGACTAAATCTGGAGACATGCTTGAATGATCGTCAATGATCTCTATATATATATATATATGATTTTTCAGAAGTACGGGGGGATTCCCAACCAACAAGGACTCTTGGGTAATTCACAGATTCAATCCATTTGTGTCTTCCCACGTTTCTGGGACCATGTCCGGTCCCACTTGCTATTTTTCTGGAGCCGATCATCGTGGGGAGCCCTGCGACGATTGTGGGCTCCCTTTGTGTTTTGGTGGGGTTTAGAGTCTAAATGGATGAGCTCGAGGATAGTCCGTTGGTGGGTTGGGTTTTCGGGCCTTTGCTGACTCACCAATATCTGACTTTTTTCAGGGACATTGACATAGGCCAAACCATTCACCAAAGGAGCAAAATCCGGTTTTCTGTATGGCAACATGTCACGAGTTTCACCAGAAATCCCAGAAATCGTCGGTTTCTTGGCCCCATGTTCTGCATGGCAACGTGTCCGAGTCGTAGGTGTTGGAGCTGGGCAGCATTGGCCAGGCGGGTGAGTTGAGAAGATGGCCTCGGACGTGGGACACGTGGGACGTGATAAGACCGAAGATGGACCAGGTGCATCAAGCTCCCAAAAGCATCCAGAACTTTACATCGTTGAAATCCATTGATTGAGCCATAGGCCATGGGCTTTGTGACAAAGGCAGAACTATCTTTAGTGGGAGATGGGGGGTAAGGGGTGCGGCCAAACCACCCGCATGTCCAAAACCATGCCACGTGGAAATTTCAAACCATTTAAGATAAGCACAAATATAAAGCATCATAAAACAACCATTTCTTGGAATCAACAACGAGACAACAGCAAGGGGATTCTTGATGGTTGGAAACAAGCCATTTTCACATTCACTGGACTAGAGCAGGTTTTGGTTTCAAACCCACTTGGCCCTGGCCAAGCATCCCCAGCACACCCGTGGGCACATAGAGACATCCTGAAATCCAAGCAGACCCCTTCCCCAAGACCTTCCTTTGCCATCTTTCGAATCCAGGTGTCATGTTTGGCTTCAAGGTCGCACCTCAAACCAACCCCAGTACAAATGCTTCGCTGCTTCACCTCACTCCGGCCGTTCCAACTCCGGCCTTCGGATCAGGTGCAACCCTGGCTGCGACGGTCACTGCTGGCGCTGCTGCGGAGCTGTGCCCCGCTGCTGCGGCGCTTGCAGGCCAAGCTACCTGGAAACCTCCTGCAGGAACCGGCGCCGGCGGGTTTTTCGGGGCGGCGAGCGGGTCTTTCAGGGGTTTGTGAGCGGGTCTTTCAAAGCAAAGGGATCTCAGTTGCAGTTGCAGTGCTAGAATTTTGCAAAAGCATGCAAACGTTATCATGGAGCAAGACATGCATCCAGGTGCTCACATGCATGGAACAGCTGCTAGTTGGAGGTCCAAGTAAAGATGAGAACAAAAGCCCTGAGAGCACTGGCAAGTTTGGTACAACAATCTTTCAACAAACAAACAAACAATCCACAATGGTCTAGATTTTCACCGTTCGTTGCCCGTTCATGGCAGCGTACCGCTTTCCGTGCGCCAGGCCGGGCTGGGGGGGCCCTTCGAAACCGGCACCTTCCTTTGCTCACTGCCGCTCTTGGAGTGGTTGGACCTGGAGCCAGGCGTAGCCGCGGGTCCCTAGAGTTGCAAACCGGCGTGTTCTTGGTGAAGAGGAAATCGTTTTTGGATGTTTTTGGATCATTGAACCCTCCCACTTAGACGCCTCACCTGTGCATTTTGGATGCTTTCCGCCGCGCCAAACGCCTTGAGCTTGGACGGACGTGACGGGACGCCAGAGCCGTGACGGGACGCCCCACCCCGCCGTGACGCGACGGGCGTGGCGTCGTGGGACCCATGGAGTGAACGTTTCGGGCAACGGAAGAAGACACGTTTGGGTCATAGATGGCTCCAAGTCGTTTAGCATGGGCTCCAAGTCGTTTGAAACCTCAAGCGGTTTCCTTCGGGACGTCTGATTTTGTGCCAGCTCAACCGGACACCCACCAGGGTCACCAGAATCAGATCCATCATCATGTTTGGAGTGTGCGACTTTCGCCTTCTCCGCAATTCATCGAACTTCTCATTGTTCGAATGACTACTCAAAGAAACGTCGCCTTCGATGCCCTGATGTTCTCCACGCCTAGAAGCTACATTCTGCCACTATTCGATTGGTATCCGAGGAACTGAGGTCGCATCCTTTTGTTTTCCAAGATCTCGGTGCACGGGTGACTACAATCTCATGAGAGATGACCGCGGTCTGCACCGCAGACCGGCCAGGTGGACCGCTCCCCTCCAGCTTCCCCGCGCTCCTCGCCGCGCCGCGCGCCTCGCTGCGCGTGCTGCGCGTGGCGCATGCGCTGCTGTCGGACGGTCTCGGAAGCGAACTGGTGAAGCGATTACGAGGTGGGCTGATGAGTTGGAAAGTGAAGCACAAGGAGGAATGGATGTAGCATGATGTCATCATGATGTAGCTGAAATGCTTGAGGCCCAGCGAGCCAGCTGGTGGTGGTCTGGCGATATAGATGGATTCTTATTAAAACTTTTCCTGTGGCCGGACGGGCCGGACGGGCCGGACGGGAGACATTGCCAATGGTTCGGAAGCAGCGGCAGTCGTGCTGATCAAAGCGCATCATGGTGAGAACTGCCCTTCCCATGTGAAGGTGCACCCACCAGAAACTTTTCTATGTGGGTGCGCGTCCAAAGAACAACAACCCAAAAACCATGGTTTTGAGGCCATTCTTTCTCTAACTTTCTTCATTGGTAGACGTGCGTCAGGTCAGTTGGCTGTCTTTCGGAGAACTGCAGACACCTCGGTCCTCGATCGGCACCTGTTCGGCACCTGGTCCTCGATCGGCAGGTGCCGGTGCTTTGCAGCAACTGTCTCTTGTGGACTGCGGGCTGGGTGCCAACACTGTAGGTTTCTTGGAGGAACTTGGCTGTGGGCTGCTTGGGGCTTCTGTGTGGAAGCCGTAAGAAGGTTGGTTATCGCGCCTCCATCGAGAGGTTTTCAATCTTTGTATATGCACCTGGAGTGCATTGGACCCCTGTGTTGATAGGAAAAGGCAATCTTTTGGGTGGTTGGTGGTCCATTGGTGGTTCGAAAAAGAGGCCAGGCTCTGCTATGGGCACATAGCATTGTAGGTAGGACTGGGGTGGGAGTTTTTCACTGCCCTCCATCTGAAGGGCCCCTGCCGCCCATCTCGGAGATTCAGGGCCCAGGGCCTTGCCTTGCAGCAAAAGGGTGGTTCCCCGGGTCCATCATTAGATCTTCCATAGGTGGAGGGAAGGGTCCTTGAAACAGGGGCAGAGCATGGTGATCCTCAAGCTTTGCTGTTGATACTCGGACTCTGGTATACTCAGATCATGGGTTCTCGCACTGGACAGTAGGGCCCTTCGATACTGCAATGACATACGATGCATACGATTCTTTAACGTGAAGGCTGGTTGTTAAAGGAAGCACTGAGATTCCTCGTTTTGCTGCCCCCTGTTTGCCGCCTTCTGTTTGGGGCCCTATGAACTATTGTGTGGGGTTCACTTGTGGATACAAATCCTTTTTACCCTCTCCTGACACAATCATGGGTCAGTGGCAGTGGAGTGAAATCCTCCCTGTTTGGTCTTCGGATTTCATCATCCAAACATCGGAACAAAACCATGCGTTCTCCGGCGTCAGAGCTCCCATGCCCATGAGTCGCTCTTCCACCTTTTTCAGGTTCCTTCCTCGTGTCTCTTCCATCTTGGCCTCAGCTCACGCACCTGAATCTGAGCCACAACGGTGCGGGACCTTCGGCCAGCCGGTCGTGTCGACGGGGTTCGGCACCGCGTGGGTCAGGGTGAACGACAGTTCCACTGCAGGGCCTGTGGGGCCAGGGATTGATGGATGTTTTCTTTTTCCCTGGAGGTTCCACGGAACCAGTGACCTCGGGTGTGGACGTGGTCTTGGTCTTTGGGTGGGGCATGAGATGATGGAAGCCTACATTATCATCCTACATCAAAATTGAACTTAAAACCGGTTGGGGGCATTCCCTGGAGATGCGCCCAACATGCAAGGATATTATATATATAAGTTTAAGGCCTCACATCGACTTCCTCTTCCCGTGCGGGTCACATCTGCCTTTTGCTTGAAAATCTTGAAAGGTATCCCAAAAAGAAACATCTTAGGGCCTCACGGGTACAGTACCTGATGGGGTGGTGTGCTGGATTTGGAGCCTTTCAAGGGTCCGTAGGCCGTCGCACCTCATCCGAGCAACCGGCGGCACCAGGCTTCGCAGGCGCGCAGGCGACAACGCCACTGCTGAAGACGCTGAGCGTCTCCCGACGCCTTCGACAGCTCAGGTGAGCCGCGGGAACAGACCAGCTCCACGGGTAGCGGCTGGGGTTTTGGGTGGATGAACACTCGGGTGCTTGAGGCTTGAGGTATCAAGGTTCTATTTTTTTGGCAGTGTTTCGGGTATACTAGCGGCTGTAAGCAGAAGGGGCTTGGGTGCAAAGGACTAGACCTTTCACACACAAGCAGGCTATAATTCTGGAGCAGTTTACCGTAGAATGAACATGCACCACGCTTTGACACACTTCGAACTCGGGTTTTCAGTGAACGCAATTGCCACGTTGGGAAGGAAGGCGATAGAACAGCATGGCGAAAAGTCCGATAACTTGGAGGTGTTTGAACATCGATTGTTTCACTTGACTCGGCTGCATACCGGCGGTGGTGAACTAACGGCTCAACTTAGCTGCAAAACCGAGGTTTGGGGGTGGAAACATGAAGGACCATGAATCAAAAAGTGGAAGAGTAGGGTGACAGCGTGTGAAAGAACGAGCAGGTACACGGAAGTGATCAGCTTCCGCTTCCTAGGATCTTGCAAAGAGCTTCGTTGGGCAGAGCCTTGCAAGTCCTCTCTGCCCCCCTGCTTGTTGCAAAAGAAAAACGGTCTCAGTGGTGGTGGAAAGGTGAAAAGGTGGAAAGCCCTTAGAACCAGGGTGTGACACACACAAGACGCCGTACTCGGCGCAGAGAGCGAGCGATGGAGAACGCGAGTCTTTTTCTCTCTCAAAAACCGCCTGCACGCATGCAGGTCATGCCCTTTTTGGGCGTAAAGGTGGACCAAAGCTTCAGCCGCAGCGGTGGCATGGTGGAGTGGGAAGGTGTAGGTGTAGATGGAGTGAAGTCGTGAAGCTAAGCCGGACAAAGCCAAGCGCTGGCTACCGGCGCTGCTGTGGTCCCTGATCTTCCAGGGTTGGGTGGGTTGGATGTAGGTGATGGTACGTTGCTGGAGGTCAATGTTGAACCCCAATAGGTGGAAGTCCTCCACCGTCTCCAATTCGACGGGATCGCCGAAAAAATTGTTGTGGATGAGGGTTTGGATGGCGGGGTGTGAGAGGAAATGTTCATTGTGGACGATGAAACGGTTGTCAACATAGCGGTAGTAAGCAAAATGAAGAGCTGTGTGCTGGAGGAGATTGTTGTGTAGCTGCTGCCAGGAATGTTCGATGAGGGTAATGGCGACGTTGCAAAGGGCAGGGGAGAGCTGGGAGCCAATCCCAGCCCCCCCGGATTTGCTTGTAAGTGTGATTGCATGCCCGGAAAATGCAGGTGTCAAGTGCATATGCTACAATGGTTGTAATGTCTGCAGTGTGAATGGTGCGTTGTGTGGGGTGGCGTCGGTGGTGCCGGCCAATGTGGGAGTGGTGAAAAGGGTTGCCAGTGGCTTTGGTGTCGACGGTCAGGGTGTGGGTGTCGTTCTGGCGTTGCCATTGCTGAACGAGGGAGTGGACAGCGTCAATCAGGCGGTGCTGTGGAACGGAGTTGAAGAAGCCCACAAGATCATCATTGGTGGCATGGAGGGGGATGTCGGGTGGTGTGTCTTTGAGGTAGCAGTGGAAGTGGGACCACAGTTGTGGGATTGATAGTTGGCCTGGAAGCTGTGGAAAGAGGTGTTGCAGGACAATGTCAAGGGCTCGGCTGGTGATGCGGAGGAGGTTGCCGCTTAGGGATTGGAAGTATGAGATAATGGTGCGACCTTTTCTCCAGTGCTTCTTCTCTTTGAGGTGGACGATGCCATATGGGATGGTGAAGTCTTTTCTAAAGCCCCATTTGTAGCGTGTGCGGAGGTTGGCAGGAATGGTCTGGGTGAGGTAGTCGTGGATGTTGGTTGATTGAAGAGTTGGCATGGGTGCAAAGAGTTCCGGTGTCTGCCATGTTGCGAGCGCTCCGGTGAAGTATTGGCGGGGGCAGAAAATGCGCAACTGTTGTAGTTCGTGGTCAGCGTGATGGAGGACGACTTGGTCTCCCAGAAATTCCTGGAGTTGGCGGAGTAGACGAGCTGTGAAGCGAGGGTGTCGTTTCAACTGGTCGATGTGGAGCTTCCATTGGTGCTGGAGAAAAGGTTCCAGGTGTTGCGTAAGGGAGGGTGGTAGACCTTGAATGCGTAGCCATTTGGTGAATGCTGTCTGGAAGGCATGGAAATATCTGGCCTTGCTGGGGTAAAAGGTGCTGTTCATATTGGCTGCCAAAAAGATGCGGAGGTGCTGTGGTAATGCCAGTTGTTCGAGGGTGAGGATGTAGTGGTGGTCGATCATGGGAATGTTTGGATCAAGTAGGATGGTTTTGAGGTGAGCGCAAGCACATGGCAAGTCAGTAGCGGCGGGAGGATTGTGCAAGGTGCCTTCCCAGGTACGGTGGTTGTGCAAATGAGCGCGGAGGGTCTTGTGGGCCGCCTCCCGCAGACAGTGAGTAGGCAAGTGGAGCGGGATGGCCAGGTGTTTGTGCTGCTGTATTGTGGTTTTGAGCCACTGTTCACAACGTTTGGGAAAATGGTCGTGGGCCAAGAATGGTACGGTGAGGGGGATGTTGGGCCTGGGCGGGCTGAGATTGCGATACTTGAGGGCCTGGTTGATGATGTGGAGTGCTCTGCTGCGTCCAGGCTCCTCCAGGTTGGCTGCCATTCGGCGGATGGCATAGACCTCCAGGTCTGTGTGTTTGCCGCTGCGCAATGGTTTTGCTGCTTCAAAGGATGCTCGAGTGTGTTTGGTGAGATTGCGGAGAAGGGTAAGGGCGTGCAGTCGAGTGGATGTGAAAAGATGTGGTTCGTGGATGGCATGTTGCCGTCTGCGAAGCTTGCGGAAAAGTCGCTTGTGGGTGGCTAGACGGGAGTAGAAATGAGCACGGTGCTTGGTGAACTGCCAGCCTTGGGCTTTTAGCTTGAGGTGATGGGAAATGAAAGGCCAGTTTAGTGGCGGCATCCAGTTGGAAATGAGGTAATGTTCTTGGATCCAGGCCTGGTCATAGGTGTCATGTGAGGAAAGTTGGATGGGCGTGAAGTGGTGGATGTTGTTGTGAGAATGCCAGTAGCGAAGGGAAAGTTCAGCTGAAATTGGAATGTTGTTGTGTAGCTGTTTGAGTTTTGCCCGACGGTTGTGTTCCCTGTGCGGGATGCCAATGCCGGTGGAGCCGATGTAGAAATGGCCGTGTTGATGGTAGCAGCGTTGTGGGACTGTGGGATTGAAATATATATGACATAAACTGCATTTGAGGAAAGAAAATTGTGGTAGTGGTATGTATGAGGTTGGATGTGGAGGTGCTGAAGTCGTTGGCGCCATTGTTGAGAACGTTGGGTAGATGAGGGGTAGCAAAAGAGAAGTGTGATGTGTATGAGGCCTACAGCAAAGAGGGCCTCGGCACGCTCGATGTATTGGCTGAAGTGGATAAGGGTGGAGAGTGCTTGGTGTAGACGGAAGAGTTGGTGGAGTGTGGTGTGATGCGGTTGGCTTTGGCTGTTTAAGGCTAGTCAGCATGCGATGGCAGCCCCCACACTCACAATATGTTGGAGGCTCTTGATCGAGAGCTTGCTTACCCGAGCCAAGGGGAGGCCATAACGGGTCGCGGCCTCCTTGAGCTGGTCGGTGGAGACTTTGCTAGTCTGGAGGAGACGCATGATTTCCTGGGCTGCGTCTTGGATCTTGGGCTCAAAAGACCGCATCCAGTGTTGAATGGAGGGTGCGGTCCATGTTTCGGGGGCGTCGTCCTTGAGGGTGGGATAGGACGGCTGAAGCACGTCTGGGAGTGCTGGTGGTTGGTGAGGTGGGGTCGGGGTTGTAGGTTTGGAGGGAGCGCTGGGACGGCCGGTGTCTTTCTTGGGGGTGAGTTCCAGTCCGTGTGCCTGGAGTTTCTCTGGTGCTCGGGCAAGATCTTCCTTGAGCGCTCGGATGGCGGAGCCTTCGGCAACCGCGGGGGAATGAGCCTGTAATTGGTCGATGAGCAATGTGATGAGAGGAGAGTGGAATGCGCGTGCTTGTGTAGTTTTGTTGGGTACGGTGGTGCCGGCTTTGGTGTGGATGGCCTCGGCGATAGCGTCCAAGTCCAGACGCTTATCGCGAATCTCCTGCAGGAGATGAGTAGTGAAAACTGACTCGGCAACACTCCTCGTAGGAATGAGCCCGCAAAACTTGCCGTGACTGAGCGTCCTGGCAGTGAAGTCCGCTGTCCCATGGTATGCCAGTAACCAAGGGAACACTTCAAAGGTCGGCAAGCCTGCGATCCCCACTCGTCGAGACCACTGTGTGGGTTGTATGTGACGGTGGAGTTGATGACCGTGGACGGCGTTGGCGTCCCAGCAGGAGTCGGTGGAGTGCCAGGAGTCTTGGATGGGTGGAGTTGGGAATGGAACTGTTGCTGGAGGTGCTGGTGGAGCCGAGTGGGTGGGACTGTGTTGGAAGGATTTCGGTTGTGGTGTGGTGGGTGATGTCGTTGGCAGTGGTGGCGGCGGCGGCGGTGGAAAAGCTGGAGACGTGGTGGCCGGTGGTGTGTGGGATGGTGGTGTGTGGGTTGGTGGTGTTGTCGATGGCGGTGGCGTGTAAGGATGGGGTTGATGCTGTTGGTGCGTGCGGATGGAGTGGCTCATGGGGCCGTAAGCGCTGGTCGGCGTGTAGTGGGCATTGTCTGAGCCCGGAACAAGCTGTTGCCGATAGTTGAGTCGTTTGAGCAGGAAAGCTAGCAAAAGCAAGTGGAAGTTTCGAATTGTCATGGATAAACGCAGCACAACTCCTGTATAATGGAATAACTGGAGAAATTGGAAAAAGCTGCACTAAGTCCGAGAGTGTTGTTGAACACAAAAAACCAAAGGTGGAAAAGACACACAACAATGCTGAATTCTTGTTAGACAACAGTGGTTGTGAGTATGATATAGACCGTTACCTTGGCAGCGGAGGCTTTTTTCGTGGTGCGGGTGAAACGGCCAACGTCCATAAAGGAGCACAGACCACAGGCTGCGAAAGCCAGTGGGAATCAGGGTGCATGTGGAAGCTGGTCGTCGTCAATGGTGGCGCTGTGACGCACATCA